GCGAGGAGCTGGCCCAGATATCTCCGACGATGTGATGTTTTCCACCGGCGGTCTCTCCTCGCTCTCGGTCTCATGGGGGCCACTTCGGCGGATGTCAAGGAATGTGTGTGTGCTTGCGTGTGGTTTCGCGCGGGACCCAACGCAGGTCCTGCACTAGTAGACTGGGCAGCCTGCGCGCCACCACCTAAAACGCTGGGCTTGCAGCACGCTCCACACAGGGCTTCGCGACAGCGCCATCGCTTCGCTCGCGGAGGAAACATGCATGCCCCCCTACATGTGAATGCGGGTCTCGATCCTGAATTCGTGATCCTTCCCCCTGCTTGCCGTTCCGCAGCGATTGCATGTCCGGCCTCGACCTGGGATAGATCCAGACGCACCTCTTTCAAAGTTGCACGTGCACCGCGCGTGTCTGAAGGCCTCCCCCTGGGGTCAACTCTCACTCTCGAACGACGCCGCCGCCGCCGACGACGACGACCATTACCGCCACCACGACGACGGCGACGACTGCGACAAAGGCCGCGGACGACCACCGCCGCAAACCATCCCGCAGACGACGACCTCGACGACAGAGCGCCGCCGCACGCGCGCCGCCGACGGAGCCGAAGGCGACGGCCACCGCCACGGCGGCGGCGCCGACGCGGGCGCCGCCGCCGACGTGGCCGCCGAGGGCGAGCCCGCCGCCAACGGCGGTGGCGGACGGCGGTGGCGCGCGGGGAGGGGGGGCCTCCGCCCGCGCCCCGCGGCTCCGCCAGGAACGCGTCGGCGGCGACCAGGAGCCTGTGGGCGCTGCCGCCGGGGCCGCCGCGGCATCGGCGGCGGCGGCGGCGGCGTCGTCAGTGCCGCGTCGTCTTCGGTGCCGTCGTCGTCGTCTCGGGCGGCACCGTCGGCGATGTTGTCTCCTCACGATGCGCCGGTCGACGCCGGGGGGGGTGGGACGGGGAGGACGGACCCCCGCAGCCTGTCACCACCCGGAATCACACCTTGGAGGATTCGCGGCTGTGGTCACTGAAACCTTTCTGCTCGTTCCTTCTCGCCCCCTCGTGTCCGCATCTTCCCTCCTCGCCCCTCTCCCACGAGCTTGCTTATCCTCGTCCCGCCCACCTCCGACCTGGTCCCCTCACCTGGAAGTCCTCATCCTGCAAGTCTCCCCGTCTCTCGCTATCCTCCTCGTCATCCTGGTCACCCTCGTCGTCGCCCGGGTTTCCCTCCTCCTGCTTCATCTCCCGTCCTCTTCCCCCCACGACGACGAGGACGCGAGTACGACGACGACGAGGGCGACGACGACCCCCAGAACTCGGCCAGAACCTCGAGGCTGACCCAGCCAAGGCCACGCGGGCGCCAAACCTCTTGGCCCAAGGAGGCTCACAGGCGTTAAGTTTGGCCTGTCCCTCTACAGGAGGAATATTCAAAAAACGTCTAAAAATTATCTGGGGACGATCATTTGACCAACTTTGACTATCTTTGGGTCTTTCTGGCGTCCCTTCTATCTTTCGCCGAGGATCCGCCTGTAGGAGGACATGCCCGACCTGACACAGGCGCCCAAACCGCGGGCACATGAAGGTGCCGACACCGCTTCTCCCATACGCCAAATCCCTTATGAATTGACCCCCCCTAAAAAACTGGACCCCACCTCCAAAGCTCCAATCCAAAGAAGACGACCTGATAAACGGGACCCCCCCAGTTACAAGAAAGGCGCCTCAAAAAACCGGACCCGCGGAACGATGAATAAAGGATTTGGAATATAGGACCTCTCCCGGGCCGCCTTCTGACCAGACTCTCGAGGAGACATCCCAACGTGGCCCCGAGGGCCTTCCGGGACGAGCAGCGGCATGCCGGCACCTCCCCCTCCGTTGACAGCCCCCTCGAGCCCTCGAGCCTCGCTCGACCGACCGACCCAATCGGCGCTGGCGGCGCCGGCGCGGCCCCAGGGTGCCTCTGCGCCCCCGCAGCGCCGGCGCCCCCCCGCAGCCGGGCAGACAGCGCGCGCTCCGCCTCCCGCGCAGGTCGCCGCCGTCGTCGGCGGTGCCGTCGTCGTCGTGGTCGTCGGTGTCGTTGTCGATGCCACCGTCGTGGGAGGAGGAAGAGGAAGCCTCGAAGCCCCTCGCGTCTCGAAGGGGGAAGAACTCAGGAGGGAGGAGCTTCTACTGTTCTCAAGCTCGTCAGGGGCCCTCGCCAGGCCACACAGGACCGCCGAAAAACGACTCAGGGCAAAACGCGGTCCCAGGGAATGGGATAGAAGAACACAAAACCACATACAGAAACTTTCGGCGCTCTGCGCGGATGTCTTGGATCCGCGCCGGACCCCCCTCCCTGGCGCGCGGAGCGCGCCGGGGGCGGCGCTGGAGGCGACGCCAGGGGGGCCCAGCGCGGGTCCAAGGAATGCGCGCGGAGCTCCAAAAGTTTTTATTTGTTTTTCTAACCATTTTCGAAATGAGGGAGAGAGGAGGTATGAGGACGAGAGTGAGCCTGGGACGCGTCAGCGATGCTGCCGTACACCCTTCCGTCCCAAGTACCCTCCTGCACTACAGGCGCAATGCTCGGCCTGCTCGGCCTGCCGTGTGGGCGAGGTCCCCGTTTTGATGCGGAGCTGCGTTCGTTCTAGCAACTAACGCTTCATGCGGAACTGTAGGGCCATAGGGTTCAAGGAGGTGTCCAACCAGAGCTACGTGGTGAAGAGGAGCGCCCCCTGTCCGTGCAACTGCTGCGAAGCGTGTGCACTTTTTGCCCCGTTCTTCAGCGGATGCTTGAGCGACGGCCCCACTTTGAAAAGGAGGCGACCTCCATTTGTGAAGCTGTTGCATCCCGTCTAGCTTCTGGCTGGCTAATTCAGAGCCCGAACTATAGCCACATAGCTACTTAGATGAACCCGTCGCGACCTATACTGAGGGATTCCAACTCAGCTCTGAGCAATGCAAAAGCATCACAGTGCAAAGCATTGATCTGCACTGCTTGGCTTTGCTTTGATTTGCCGGACCTTGCTTGGTGTAGATTGGAATCGCGGCTTGCCATTGTTTGCCATTGTTTTGGGCTGCTTGGCGTATCTTGGCAGTGCTTGGCGTGCTCGGCTTCGCTTGGCATTGCTTGGCGTGGCATGTTGTATTGCTTGGCTTTGCTTAGAAGTGCGTGGCATGGCTCGATATTGCTCTGAATTGTTTGGCAAAGCTTAACGCTGGCCTGCAGAACTTGGCGTTGCGTGGCAGTGCTTTGAATCGCCTGGCATTGTTTGGTGTTGCCTGGCGTCACTACGTTCAGGGTAAGCAAACATGGCAGTGAAAATGCTGACCACGTGGGGCATGGGTAAATGGTGGTGGGGGAGTGGGCGCTGGAAACCATCTGACATGAAGACATGAGGCGCTGAAACTACCATCCCCCGGAAAAATTGGGCGCAGGAAGCGACGCCGTGAGGCGCTGGAACCACCGCCCCTCGTAAAACAAAAATTGCGGTGGAAATTAGATGGCTTAAAACTGAGCGTTTTCTTAGGGTGGAGGGCTCAGGGTGGAGTCCGTATGGGCTTCTTTGCACCTCGAAAATCAATCTGTCTTGCGAGTCCCCGTTTGCAGATTCAAGCCTCGAAAATCGATCGAACGGCGTTTCAGATTCCACCCTCTGCCCTCCACCCGAAGAAAGTGCTCGGCAAAAGCAGGAGGTGCTGGAACCGCTGTCCCCCGGACGCTGGCACCGACGCCGTGGAGCGCTGGAACCACCGCCCCTGGCGACAAACCGGGCGCTGGAGCCCCTCCGTCTTGACGGCGTGAGGCGCTATAGAACCACTATCCCCCGCAAAATATTGGGCGCTGGAACCTCACCCCGTTTAGGGTTACACATAGGGGGACAACAAGTGACATAAACATAACAACTCGGAGGTCCGCGCCGATTTCTCGGATTGGCGCTGGACACCCCTGGCGGCGCCTCCGGCGCCGCCCCTGGCGCGCCCAGCGCCGATCCGAGAAATCCGCGCGGATCTCCGAGTTTTTATGTTTATGACACTTTTTGCTCCCCTGACACAAATATCGAGAGGGCGGGGGGAGGGGTGGGAGACGGGCCTGGGGGCGGAAGGGGTCCAAGCGTTGCAGTCACGCCTCGTTCCCAAACGGGGCCTGTTCGCACGCGCTGGTGCGCGTGCCATGTCTCGGTCGGTCGGTCCAGTCGTCGGTCGGTCGGTCGGTCGGTCCTGTTGTCGGTCGGTCGGTCGGTCGGTCGTCGTTCGTCGTCGTATCGGTCGGTCGGTCGGTCCGTCGGTCGGTCCCGTCGCGGGTCGTTGGTGTGTCGTTCGGTCCGTCCGTCGTCGTCGTTCGTCGTCGTATCGGTCGGTTGGTCGTTCGGTCCGTCGGTCCGTCTGGTCGTCGGTCGCCGGTCGATCGGTCAGTCGGTCGTCGTTCGTCGTCGTCTCGGTCGGTCGGTCGGTAGGTTTGGTCGTCCTTTGTCGGTCGGTCGGTCGGACCGTCGCTCGCCGTCGTCGGTCGTCGTCGTCGTCTCGGTCAGTCCGTCCGTCGGTCTGTTACTTGGTCCATCGGTTGTCGTCGGTCCTCGGTCGTCGGTCCTCGGTCGGTCGGTTGATCCGTCGTCGTCGTCGGTCGTCGGTCGTGTTGGTCGGTCGGTCGTCGGTCGTCGTCGTTTTCGTCGTCGGTCGTCGGTCGGTCGGTCGATCCCTCAAGTCGCGCCTCTTTGGCCAAACACGCTGGGGATGCAATGCTCATGCAGCCATGACACATGCCCCCCTGACGCCTCCGATACGTGCATTCGCGCTTCACTACCAACAGTATTCACCTGACTGTAGGCGGTGGTTGGCATTGGTTGGTATTCCTTGGCATTGCTTAGCATAGCTCGGAGTTGGTTGGCACCCCTTGGCTTTGCGCTGCGAAGCGTTGCCGCTTCCAAAGAACCAGAGAACCCCCGAGCCACTCCGGCGGCCGCCATTGCCGAGCAGCGCCGAGGAACGCCGAGGCACCCCAGGCAACGTCGAGCGCCGCCTCGGACGAAGAGCCCCGCATCCACGATTCGCTCCCAAACCGGCAGGCAAGCCTTTGCCCTTGCACAGCGAGGCGCCCACGAGGCGCCCACGAGGCGGGCACCGGGCGGAACCTCGGCGCCCCCGCCCAGCGCACGAGGCGCCCACTCGAGGCGCCCACGGGGCGCCGAGGAGCAGGCACGCACAGCCTCGTGGGCACCCACGGGGCGCCCACGGGGCGGGCAGAAGGCGAAGCCTCGGCACGCCCGCCCGGCGCACGAGGCGCCCACGAGGCGGGCACGAGGCGGGCACTAGGCGGAGCCTCGGCGCACCCAGCCAGCACGAGGCGCCCACGAAGCGCCCACGAGGCGGGTACCGGGCGGAGCCTCGGCACAGCCAGCCAGCGCACGAGGCGCCCACGAGGCGGGCACCAGGCGGAGCCTCGGCACCCCCACACAGCCCACGAGGCGCCCACGGGCGGGGAAAAAGCCACTGCTGGCTGGGTGTGCTGAGGAAAACCTCAGCACACCCAGCCAACAGGAGGCGCCCACGAGTCGCCACCTTAACTGGCACCAGCCGAACACCTGGCAAAAAACACTACCTGAACAAGAGAAATAAGAACCCTCAAGTGCAACCACTCCTTGGAGGGAAAGACTCTCCCTTGAGGGTGATTTGTTACTGTCGCTAACTTCCCGCCGATCCTCTACCGTCGATCGTTTTACTTCCGTGACGAAAATAAAACGATCGACGGCAGCTGACGGAAGTTCCGTCAGCTGCCGCCGGCCTTCCACCAACTTCCGCCGAGGAAGACAGGATGTCAAGTCCTCGACCCCTCGGAGCTTCCAGAGCTGTCCCTTGTTCGAGGAACGTGGCATGAGGCCAGGGTCAAAGCATTGAAACAACCATGCGAATCCATTGCAGGTCAAACTGAGCCACCTGCCCACGCCACTGCCCGCATGCGGAGTTGCCGCGGCCGATGCTCATGCATTCCCGCACGGACAGCGGAGGGCCCGAGCCTCGCATGCTGCTCTTGGGGCCCGTGGCGACATCCCTTTTGTCAGAAGGTAGTCATATGCGATGATTGCCAGCAGAGACCTCAGCGAAGCAAGTGACTGGCGCGACCTCGCGGCTCTCATACTCAAGACTGCCTGGCTCGGGCGAGCATCAAATGGCCGGCCGGGGCGCAGAAGCCGTGCCTGTGCCGTGCCTGTGCTAGCTCACTGCTTTGTCCAGGCCCTCAAACACGGGCGGCGGACTGAAGTAGCAGAACCAACCATAAAAGGCCGCCAACCCTGCGAACAAGATGATGTTTGCCAAATTGAACCAGTGCCAATGTTCGTCCGTGAAGTGGGATCGAAGAAGCACCAGCATGGTCAGGGTGAATACCAGGCAGTAGGCTCGGACGATGCCCCTCCGCAGATGCCCATCGGCCGATTGCCGGACCGCCCACGCGACAAAAGCCTGCCCAAGGATGAGTGAGCCGTACAGCCGGATTACCACGTGGGTTATCTTGACCTGACCGTCGTCGGGGTTGAAGCGGAATGAGCCGTGCCACTGCTCGCCGAAGAAGAAGCCGAACACGTGCGGGAAGAGGGTCGCGAGAGAGCCGCTGACGGCCGCCAGGGAGGCGTGGCAGGCCAGCAGCAGGTCCAGGCGCTTCTTCTGGCCGAGCGCGGCCCTGTCAAGCATGGCTCACCTTTACGATCGCGGCCACGAGCCCAACGTCGAGGACGACCTGGGCAAAAACGAGTACGGACCAGGTCGGCAGCGCCCTTGGTTCTGCTCTGTTGTGTAAGACCCAGCTATCGTATACAATCTTGTGTTCTGTAATGGTATGTTCTCGTAGCTGTTCTGATCTACCTGATGATACAAGTTTGTGTTACGATTTGTTATGTTCTATCGTCCCTAGCCGTATATACTCTCTTGTGTTCTGTTCGCGTTGTAGCAGTAGTCGCAGCAGTAGTGGCAGGAGTGCTGATTATGCCAGTCCTGGTAATAGTAATGATAATAAAGAGGCGAAGCGGGGGGGTGGAACACTGAGAACACAGGCTGGACCTGGAAATCTGGCGACCGCGGTATGCAGGGTGGAACCTAATATGTGGACAAAAGCGACGCGGGGCGGGACACTCGGGATCCAAGGTGGGCCTGGGGTTCTGGCGGCCGCGGTATGCACCAGGGGCGGGTCTGGACCTGTATTCTTGAAGCCTAGCAACACCTGTGGGGTGGTGCGCAGATCCAGCAGCAGTTGGATCGATAAGGAACCAATGGGAGCCTATGCAAGAGCAAGACAAGTCATGCGAGTCACAATGCTCACCAGTGAAAGAGCAACGGCAACCTTGTACACCACGAGGGAAACACGAATTGCCACAGTGACACATATTCTCTGACGCGTCCCTAGATGATAGCTTGTGGTCCCAATGTTTATTATGTTGCTTGCCTCGATGTTTGCCCCGATTGACAGATAACGAGATCGGCCAAAGGATTGAAAGTGAAACCGATGGAGAAATAGCTCGGCCGTAAGATAGTGAAACCGATTCCAGGTGAACCATCGTCCCATTGAGCACCATGATTCCAGGCAAGTCATAGCAGCGTCGTAAGATCGAAAGATAGCGGCCCTGTGAAACAGCCCGACCTGACCACATGGTGATGAGGCAAAAAAGACATGCGAATACGCCCATACCTAAATTTGTACCACACGCATGCGCATCCACATACATACCGGTAATTGCAGGTATTGACATCCAGGTACATAGGCAGTCCTATATATGCATGTGAGCTGATCGACAAACACACTGGTGCACACATTCATGCTGCCATTGCGATGTGTGTCCACTCGTGAGTGAATTGTGCGTCCAGCCCGCATCCCAGATGATGCCAATCCCTCCCACCTCCCTTCTCGCCGAAAGGGCGGCCTGATCGGTAAATGCCGAGCAAGCCCTGGGGCGCGAGCCGAGGTCCAGGGTCACGGCGGGGAAGCGGTGGGGAGAGGGGAGGTGGATGGGGGCAGCAGGAGGACGCCCATGACGAGCACGACCACGACGACGGCGGCGACGACTCCCACGGACAGAAACGACGACGACGCCCAAGGGCGGCCGAAGTCCGCCGCCGAGGGTGGCCCGAGGGGCGGCCGAAGTCCGCCGCTGGAGGGGCCGCCGCCGGAGGGCCGCCGGAGGGGGCCGCCCGAGACCGCCGCATGAGGGGCCGCCGGAAGGGGCCGCCGGAGCGCCGCTGAAGGGCCGCAGGCCGCCGAAGGGTCGCCGGCGAGGGCCCGCCGGAGGTCTCCGGCTATAGGGCCCGCCGGAGGGCCCTGCCTCGGCGGCCAGGGCGGCATCTCGCCAGGAGCCCACAGCGGCCAGCAGCTCCGTCGGCGGCGCCTGCGCTCTCGCCCCTATATGCCTCCTCCTCCTCCTCCTCCTCCTCCTCCTCCTCCTCCTCCTCCTCCTGCTCCTCCTGCTCCTCCTGCTCCTCCTGCTCCTGCTCCTGCTCCTGCTCCTGCTCCTGCTCCGGCTCCTCCTACTCCTCCTTCTCCTCCTCCTCCTCCTCCTTCTCCTCCTCCTCCTCCTCCTCCTCCGCACATCGCGACGGAAAAGAGTCTGAAATTTTCGGCCTCTGGGAGCCCTCGCCGGGACCCTGGGACCGTCATACACTTATCCTAGGGCCCAGCCGTAATTATTCATCTGTGGCTACCCGCAGTTGTTCGCCTCGTCCTCGGTGGAGCTCCCCGTGGGGCAACGTGTGAATGGTGCGAGAAGGAGGGAACCGCCTGCGGACCGTGCCCGTGGGACTCTGGGTGGAGCTCCCGATGGGGTCGCGAGACGCGCGAGGGGTGCGCCGACATGGGCGGGGAACCGACTGCGGACCGTGTCAGTGCAACCTTAGTTGGAGCTCCATTGAGGGCCACGAAACGTGTGAGGGGTGCACCGACACGGGTGGGTTCGGCCACGTGCGGACTGTGCCGCTGGGATCTTCGGTTGACCTTCCCATGTGGTCACGACGCGTGGGAGAGGGGGGCGCCGAAATGCGCGGCCACGTGCGGACTGTGCCAGTGGGGCGTTCGGTTGAGTTCCCCAGTAGACCACGGGCCTCCCAAACAGGGTCAGAGTAGATGAGTCTGAGTCGGAGTACGGCGTCGCATGTAGAACAATAGTGAACGGCAGAAGCATAAACTTTTGGGGTTCAGCGCGCCGGACCCCCCTCCCTGGCGCGCGGAGCGCGGCAGGCGCCGATCCAAGAATCCGCGCGGAGCGTCAGAAATTTATGTTTATGGCGTTCTTCATGCTTCGAGCATGGCCGACGCATCAGCGACGTTGACTTGGAGAAGATCTGCCTACACGTCTGCCCGGAGAGGCGCTTCGTAGATGCGGATTGGAGAATCGTATCCTCGAAACTCTGGGTCCTGGGATCACGCTTCGAACGAACACAAGACATCCTCGGGACAAAAGACCGGCCCTGTGGAGATGGTCCAGACCCAGACATGCGACGTCCTGATTTTTTCAGGACGGCGTCCCTGGAAGTCCCGACCCTTTCCCCGGGACCGCTTTTTCGTCCTGAGTCGTTTTCTGACGGTCCCCAAGCCCGGCGAGGGCCCCCAAGGGCCGAAAATAGTGAAATTATCCCAGTGCGACCCTACCTAGGAGTTGCAGCCCCTAGGAAAGCAGCATTAGTAGTAACAGTGAAGCTAAGCTAAAGCTAAGCTAGAGCTACGCTAAGCTAAATCTAAGCTAAGCTAAAGCTAAAGCTAAAGCTAAGCTAAAGCTAAGCTAACGCTAAGCTAGAGCTAAGACAAAGCTAATATAAAGCTAAGCTAAAGCTAAGCTGAAGCTAAGCTGAAGCTAAGCTAAAGCTGAGCTAAAGCTGAGCTAAAGTTAAGCTAAAGTTAAGCTAACGCTAAGCTAAAGCTAAGCTAAATATAAGCTGAAGCTAAACTAAAGCTAAGATACAGCTAAGCTAAAGCTAAGCTAAAGCTAAGCTAAAGCTAAGCTAAAGCTACGCTAAAGCTAAGTTAAATCTAAGCTAAAGCTAAGCTAAAGCTAAGCTGAAGCTAAGCTAAATCTAAAGCTAAGCTAAAGCTAAGCTGAAGCTAAGCTGAAGCTAAGCTAAAGCTGAGCTAAAGCAAAGCTAAAGCTGAGCTAAAGCTAAGCTAAAGCTAAGCTAAAGCTAAGCTGGAGCTAAGCTGGAGCTAAGCTGGAGCTAAGCTAAAGCTAAGCTACAGCTAAGCTAAAGCTAAGGTAAATCGAAGCTAAAGCTAAGCTAAAGCTAAGCTAAAGCTAAGCTAAAACTAAGCTAAAGCTAAGCTAAAACTAAGCTGAAGCTAAGCTGAAGCTAAGCTAAAGCTAAGCTAAATCTGAGCTGACGCTAAGCTGAAGCAAAGCTGAAGCTAAGCTGAAGCTAAGCTAAAGCTGAGCTAAAGCTGAGCTAAAGCTAAGCTAAAGCTAAGCTAAAGTTAAACTAAGGCTAAGCTAAAGCTAAGCTACAGCTAAGTTAAATCTAAGCTAAAACTAAGCTAAAGCTGAGCTAAAGCTGAGCTAAAGCTAAGCTAAAGCTGAGCTAAAGCTAAGCTAAATCTAAGCTAAAGCTAAGCTCAAGCTAAGCTAAAGCTAAAGCTATAGCTAAAGCTCCCAGGGGACTGGGGGAACCGCGGGGCGGGGACTGGGGGAACCGCCCGGGGAGTGGTGCACTGCCCGGCCCCTTTAAGCTAAGAGAGTAAGAACCCTCTAGGCAGAGCCTAGGTAGGGAAAATTGGCCGTTCTGATTTTTTGACGACGCGATCCTGCCTGGGAGTGTCGCCGACGCGCGGGTCCTCGCCGCCGCCGGCGTTTCCGACGCCGCCGCCGCGGTCGTCGCCGCCGTCGCGAGAGCGGACTCGTCTCCAGGCTGCGACTCGGCGGCCGCCAGCTTGCCGGGAGCGCGCTCGAGCGCCGCCCCCCCCGACCTCCCCAGAGCTCCGACGTCCTCCCGTTCTGCTCGCCCGTGTTTCGCAACGTGGACCCTCAGAGGTCCCCAGACAGGATCGCGTCGTCAAAAAATCCGGGCGGTAAATTTTTCACTGCTTTCGGCCCTTGGGGGCCCTCGCTGGGCCTGGGGCTCGTCAGAAAACGACTCAGGACGAAAAAGCGGTCCCGGGGAAAGGGTCGGGACTTCCAGGGACGCCGTCCTGAAAAAATCAGGACGTCGCATGTCTGGGTCTGGACCATCTCCACAGGGCCGGTCTTTTGTCCCGAGGATGTCTTGTGTTCGTTCGAAGCGTGATCCCAAGACCCAGAATTCCGAGGATACGATTCTCCAATCCGCAAAACTGGATCCGGGACGAGAAACCACCCCGGGCAAGGGGTCGGGACATCTGGCCGCGGATTGAAAAAATCATACCGTCGGATGCCTGCATGCATGGGGATGTCCCCGGCCGGCCTGCATCTGAGCAGCTTCTTACGGTCCTGGGGTCCTGGAGCGCGGTTCCATATTGTCGGCGATATAATGGGCAGTATAGGGGGGGAGGGGGGGAGAGGGCCGGGGGGGGGGTTATAATGTAACGCCTCCCCCCCGCCGTGTGCCCGAAGCGCACGGCGGCAGTGCCCGGAGCGCACTGGCCCGTTACGTCATAGGGGGGAGGGAGGGGGGGGGAGGGGGCTATGATGCCCACGAGGCCCCAAGCGGTGAAAAGAAACACGCTCCTGCGAGGCCCGCAGACCCAGACCCCCGACGTCATGGTTTTTTCATGACGTCGACCCCCAGAGGTCTGGACCCATTCCCCGGGACCAATTTTTCGTCCCGAGTCGTTTTTTGACGCTCCCGAGGGCCGGCGAGGGCCCCCAAAGGCCGAAAATAATGAAAACCTCTCGTCGTGATTTTTTCATGGCTCGAGGGGAGTCCGAACGCAGCGAAGACACAGTCGCACCAAAGGTGCCCCACGACTTGGAGATCTGGAGACTTCAGGCGGCACTCGCACAGCAGGCGGAGGGGGCCGACGACCGGGCGCAGGCGGTGCGGGCGGTGGAGGGACACAGGCACGCTGAGGGGGGGCCAACATCCCAGACCTCCAACCCAGACCTCCTCGAGTTATGACAAATTCATGACGGGAAGTTTTTCGCTATTTTCGGCCTCGGGGGGGCCTTACCGGCCCTCGGGAGCGTCAACAAAACGACTCGGGACGAAAAACCGGTCCCGGGGAACGGGTCCAGACCTCTGGGGGTCGACGTCATGAAAAAATCATGACGTCAGAGGTCTGGGAACGCATTGAAAAAACAAGACGGAGGTTTTTCTCTATTTTCGGCATGGCGGCCCTCGCCGGGCCCCGGGACCGTCAAAAAACGAACAAAAACCGGTCCTGAGGAATGGGTCCAGACTTCCGGGGGCCCCGTATTGAAAAAATCACGACGTCGGATCTCTGGGATCGACCTGGAATCCCAGATCTCCGATGGCAGATGCGCTTTCCAATCCAGGCGTTGGACCCAGGTCGGCCTCCGGGGCTCCTTGCCCGGCCCCGCGGCCATGAGAAGTTCGTCAGGGATGAGGCAGGTCTCCGGGGAAGGGGCTGGGACTTCTGGGGTTGGGTCGGGCATGTCCCCCTACTGCCCTACAGGCGGATTTGGGAGGAAATGTTAGACATACCCCAAAAACATCCAATAGTCAAAAACAGTCGAACAAAGCGTCTCAAAACTATGTTTTTACTATTTTTGAATATTCCTCCCGTAGAGGGACACGCCCGACTTACCCTGGAGCCGAGGATTGAAAAAACTCAGATCGTCGGGCGCCTGGGATCGGCGGTGAATCGCCGACAGATCAGCGATAGGCCAGCGATAGCGGCACCGCCCCCGTCCCTTGGCGAGGGGGGCTAATCGAGCCCCTGTCGGCGATCCATGGGCGATTTCGAGGCTCGATGCGTCCTCTCTTGCTGGGCCCTCGATGATCCTCGGTCTTGCTCGATCCTCCTCCTCGGTCCTCCTCGGTCCCCCTCGATCCCTCCCACTCAATCCTCCCCCTCGATCCTACTCCTCTCTCCCGAGCCGATACCCTCCTGCGATTGTCCCTGTGATGCGCTCTTCTTCTCCACGCCTGCGGCGCACTCGCCGGATCCGACCTGGCCTTGCAGGCCGGCATCTAGCCGCTGGGCGAGGGGGTGGCCAACCGCGGAGGGACTCGCGGAGAGGCGGCCGTGCGCCCCGTGTGGCGATCTTACGCCTTCCGTGGCAGCAGCCGTGGTGCAGGCATGGGGGCCTGGCTCCTCCGCCTCGTCCTCCGGGTCCCGTAACGTCGCGCATCGCGCCACGCGCTGCGCGACGCGCGGCTAAGTTCTCTTCGAGCCTTCGCGCTGTCCTCCTGGAGAGAGTCTCCGACCCAGGCCGCGATGCGCGAGGCGCGATTGCATTCGCACCCCCAACAGGGGGGGGGGGGGGGCCTTGCCCAAGGCTGGACGTGGACACGGCTGGGACAACTTGTCCAGATGGTGCCTGGACGAGGATTTTGATCGGATTTCGGCCTAGGTCAGCTGACTCTGCGCTTGGCGCCGCTCGAAGTGTGAAATCAGCCGAGACAACTCGCGCTTTCGACAGGCCCCCCTGGAGAAAGGCGATTCTCGGGTCCAGACCGCGGAAGAGCGAGTGCGCCTGTGGGTGTTCAACAGCAGATGGACACGTGAAGAAATCATGCACTGTAGGGGCGCATTATTCGGTCGACCTTGGACCTCGCACGATGCCCCCGCCCTCGTGCTCCTTCGGGGTGTTGAGCGAGGCCAACCCAGAATCGTAGAGGGCTGGGACTCTTCTCCTTTCCTCCACCCTCTCTGCCTATCGAGGACGGGCAAACGCTGCGGCAGGCTAACAGTGGATTCTGGCTCCTGCGACGGTCCATTGCCGACGCGGGCGGCGGGTGCATAACGAGGTTCCTGCTGAAAAAGCGCAAGCCGATTTATGTCGGGCATGTCCCCCTACAGGGGAGGGGGATTTGGGGCGAAAAATGAAAAATAGTCAAAACAGATTCGATAATGATCAAAAAATGCTCAAACAAGCGTCCCCATGTTTTGGGACTATTTTTGAATATCCCTCCTGTGGAGGGACACGCCCGACTTAAAAGCAGACTCACAGACAAACCTCGCCTGCAGTGTCGGGTCGAAGCGCGCCGCTGCGGGTCGCACCTGCTGCCAGACTCTGGCCCCTGCCTTCCCTCGCACTCACTGGAGGGGCCCAGGTGTAGGGAAACACGCCGCTGCAAACTGCAAAACCACGCGAGGGGCGCCCGCGCTGAGGTCATGGCTCAGATTCCTCTGCTGTCGATTCGTTGCTTGTCCTGTCCTCGGCCTTCGAGCTCTGCCCGTCGGTGGGCTGCTTGTTCACCATTCTCTTGAGCTCCCTTGGGACGCAGGTGTCGTCCATGCCCATCTCCTCCACGGCGATGTAGCACTGCAAGCTGGCATCGATTGCAAGATGGAACACGTTCATGTACAGCTTGCCGACAACGTAGCCTACCATGGCGTAGATCACAGTTGGAGCAATGGGAGAGACCTCAGGGTGAATTGCTGTCTGGATGGTGTAGCCGATGATAGTCGTCGTCGCGAGGATGCACAGAAAGCCGATAAGGTCGATTGCGCTCCCCAGGACCATTATTGACGCGAAGCGTTTGGCATGCCGCAACACAAGGTAGAACGCCGTTTTTGCTGAGGAGCAAAAGTTGGTACCCAGGAGAGCGATCTGAATGTAGGCCAACTTGTTGATGTATTCCAATGACTTCTCAAAACACCAGATGAGGCACTGAACGCATTTCAAGACATATGCCATGACACGGTTTTTCCGGGCCTCTGCTTGCTTCTCCAGGAACAGCATTACGTACCTGATGAACTTCACCATTGCGATAATGAAAGAGCCGAATGCAAGGGATCCCAAATGGTACCGGACCGCGTTCCAGGCAGACTTTCGAAGAGCTCCACGCTGAAACTGCGTGTCCCTGCTCTGGTTGAAGAACCAAATGCCCACCGTACCGGCTATGATGCACTGCCCCGCAGCGATGAAGAAGGCATTCACCCACAAATACATGAAGAACGTGTAGGCGAACTCAAGGCCCATCATGTAGCGGGGCGGTTGGCACCGCCAGCATTTGGAAACGGCGGAGCCACCGCAAGTCTCGTCCCTCCAGACGTCACTGACGGGCCATCCGTACGGGCCCGATCCCTCGTAGGTGCATGCCTCCCATGCGGCATCGTAGGTGGCGTAGTAGCCTGTCGGAGTATAGTCAGTTGGGACCTGAGACAAGATGAAAGCCGCTCCGAAGAACCAGGAGAGGCACCACACAACTGTGCACAGCACCTGCACCATTGGGACCACTAGCACGCTCGGGGTGGTGGCCAGGAACCTGGAGGCCACCTGGGTCACACGGATGGCCAGCACGATCTGCTTGAACAAACACATCACTACGATGAGCCAGAGCCCAGCGAAGCCAAGAATCACGTAACCTGTGTACAGAAGCGCGTCACGGCCTGTCTGCCCACTCACCGCATAGCCATCCTGACATTCCGGAGGGTCCAGCCCGATTGGAAGGCACTCCGCCCACCGAATGTCTGGGTCTTGCGTGAAACACCAAATGGTCGTGCCCTTGTTGGTCGCGTTCGGCAAGTAAGGGTTTCGGCAATCCGCCACCGTGCCCACTGGCGCGTCGACGCGCGGTAGAATACAAAGTTCTGTCGGGCCATTTGGGGCTTGTGTAATCTTCTACGGGACCCCGCCCCCCGGCACCTATCCTAACAAGTGTTGACAAACACTGGGTGATTGCTCTGTGGATGTGTAAGCTTTGTGGTGCGAGCTTGGTGCGAGCTATCTTGTGCTCTATGTGTAGCGTAAGATATGTGGTGTACGCGATGTGGTGCAAGCCCTGTGGTGCAAGCTATATGGTGCAAGATGTGGCGCAATCCATGTGGTGCGAGCTATATGGTGTAGGCTACTCGGTCCAAGGTATGCGGAGTAAGCTATGACGCCCAGGAGGCACTCACGGCCGCCCAACACGCGAAACCTCGCCACACCCGCCCAGCGCACGGGGCGCCCACGAGGCACACACGGCCGCCCACCAAGCGAAACCCTGCCACACCCGTCCAATTACCTGTCAACCGTTTGGGGAACAATTGATCCCCGCTCCCAAGGCTATGACCCGTAGTGAAAAGCTATGGGTCCACGCTGCCGAGAACGTGATCCCTTGTAAACAAAACCACGGATACACGCTACCGAGGCCACAACTCGTGACAAAAACAGTGGATCCACGCTACCAAGGCCACGGTCTGTAGTAAAAACCAGCAGGCCGCACGGTCGATCCAGGCAACCAAGGACCTGACCAATATGGCCTCAAGACGCCCCCAAAGGCCCCCAAGACGGCAAAAGAAGGCCACAAGAGAACCCCCTGCAAGCTCGAATAAGTACAAATCATATGTATTTTCATATTGAACATATGTAGATATACACATCTATCGTGTATATATATACACATCTATATAATTATATAAAGGGTGTGTATGTAAACGGGTATATATATATAGGTGTATACATGCTAGATTTGATGGCTCGCTTCGCTTTGCCTCCGCTCTTCTGGGCAGCGCCTGAGACATCCTCGCAACGCTGAGCGCCCAGATGCCGCGCTAGTGGTGAACCAGCCCATTTCGCTTGAGACATCCTCGCACATCTGGGCTCCGAGATGCTCCGCGCGAAGTGGTTCAGCGCGTTTCGCCTGAGACATCCTCGCAATCTTGATATCCGAGATGCCGCGCGAGATTAGCCCAGCCCGTGTCAGGCAGAAGATGTGCGTAAAGTGGTCCAGCTCGTTTCGTCTGAGACATTCTCGAACATCTGGGCTCTGAGAAAAATGGAGCAAGGTGGTCTGTCCCGTTTCGCCTGAGACATCCTCGCGATTCGAGGCTCCCTCCGAGGTGTTGCGCGCGAGGTGGTCTGGCCCGTTTCGCCTGGGACATCCTCGAAGCTCTGGGCTCCGAGAGAAGAGCAAGGAGGAGGCAGACCATGTCAGACCCAAACAAACCATTTGATTACTCTTCCGTTTGCGAATCTTGGCGCCGCCTGAGACACCCTCGCGCTTGCAACTCTGAGCTCCCAGATTTCGCGCGCGACGTCGTCCAACCCCTTCCGCCTTTCAAACATCCTCGCAACTCTGGGCTCCGAGATGCCGCGCGAGGTAGTCCATCCAAGTGCGTCTTGGACATCCTCCTAACTCTGGGCTCCGAGAGGGGTGAGGGAGCAGGGAGAAGAGGTCAGACCCAGATCAAACTGTTGATTACATCTCTGTTTCGGAACGTACTCTCAGAGGGCTTTGGGCGCCGCGCGAGACATCCTCGCAGCCTGGGCTCCGCGAAGACGTGCACGAGGTCGTTCGTTAGGCCTGAGGCCTGAGACACCGTCGCGAAATGCACGCGAGGTGGACTGGACCGTTTCGCCTGGGACATCCTCGGAACTCTGGGCACTTCTGTTGTCGACTTCTCTTCTGGGAGGGGTCTGGGCGACCATGGCCCGACGGAGGAGGCAGCCGGCGCTGAGGCGCGAGTGCGACTCTTTCGAAAATTGCGGGGATGCCTCTCACGGAAGGGCCACGCTGGAGCGAGAGCGAGCGAGAGCGCGGCGAGCCGGAAGCGAGAGCGCGAGCAAGAGCGCGGTGAGCGGGAAGGAGGCAGGGCAGGAGAGGAGAAACGGAGGAGAAATAATGGAGGAGGGAGACGGGACCAGGCCCAAACTACCTGTTTGACGGCATCCCTGGCGAGGGTGCCTTCTGGAAGCGGCATCACGAATGCGAAATCATCCCTGGCATGGCGGAGAAAGCGGGGAAGAGGTGGGACAAGGAGAAGGAAGAAGAGGAGGACGAGGAGGAACATTGCGAGGAGGAGGAGGAGGAGGAGCACTGCGAAGAGGAGGAGGAGGAGGACGAGGAACACAAGGGGGAGTAAAAAGGATACAAGGAGAAGCGCGACGAGCAGGAGCAGGAGGATAAACAATCTTGATTTTGCTTCGAGCGATCCCCACCGAAACCTTCGGCGATTGATCCCGACGGTGCTCGCGCCCATTGGAAAGATGTGCGCGTGGCCCGGTGGAGTCGGCCAGTGCGGCGGTCTGAGCAACTCGCAAATTGCCGTTCTCCTGAAATCTATCGGCCCCCGGGCCCCCTGACGAAAGAAACCGAAATACACCGTGAGGCGAAAAAATAACCTTCAAAATCAGTCGAAGGAAGAGGACCAGTATCAGCAGTAGCAGTAGTCAAACACATAGAAGTAGAAGTAGAGGCAATCTGGCGTGACGTCGTGACGCCTGTCACGTGTGATACGTCGTCCAATCGGTCGTTGCTCGGCCTGTTTGGTCCAGTGGCCAGCCTGGCCTCGGCGAGCACGACGCGTTTAATAGTGTTACAGTACGGTGAATAATGCCACGAAGTGCCTCTTCAATTATGGTGTTGCTCTTCAGAACTATGCTCTTCTGCTCGGCGGCACCGTGCTATGGCATGATGAGATTGGTCAGCGTGTGTTACGTGATGCGTTGCTCAATGATGTTGTTTACGCTATGCTGTGCGACATATAGTAAATGATGCCCGCGATGTGATGACATTCCTCTGCAATGAAGGTCTAGTGTGTGGTGTTATTTCAAGCTTTTGGCCGTAGGGGTATCAGTAGTGAAGGAGTTCTGATATGATCGGAGGTGAGGGGGTGAGATCGAAGTGGAACGGAGAGCCCCCCTACCGGGAAATCGATTTCGGTTTCGTGTTCGTGCGTGCCGTGCGTGCGGGCGAGGCGAAGCTGCGTGGGCGGGTGAGAGAAAATCTCCTGTGGCTGAGGCGCGGCCGGACCAAATGATTCCCTTCCAGGCGGCCGGGGCCCCGCGGTGTCCCGCCGGTGTCCCGCTGGTGTCCCGTGTGGCTGAGGCGCGGCCGGACCAAATGATTCCCTTCCGGGCGGCCGGGGCCCCGCGGTGTCCCGCCGGTGTCCCGTCGGTGTCCCGTCGGTGATGATGATGATGATGATGATGATGACGATGAAGATGATGTTGACAACGATGATGATGATGATGTTGACAACGATGATGATGATGGTGATGATGATGGTGGTGATGATGGTGAGTTCGGTAGTGAGATCGATAGTGAGACCGAATGTGAGATCGATTGTGAGATCGATTGTGATATCGATAGTGAGGTCGATAGTGAGACCCAATGTGAGATCGATAGTGAGATCGATAGTGAGATAGATAGTCAGATCGATTGTGAGATCGATTGTGAGATCGATTGTGATATTGATTGTGATATTGATAGTGAGATCGATAGTGAGATCGAACGAGAGGTCGATCATGACTTCGATAGTGAGTTCGATAGTGAGATAGATAGTCAGATCGATTGTGAGATCGATAGTGAGATCGATAGTGAGACCGAATGTGAGATCGATTGTGAGATCGACTGTGAGATCGATCGAATGAGATCGATAGTGATATCGGTAGTGAGATCGATCGTGAGACCGAATGTGAGATCGATCGTGAGATCGATAGCCAGATCGATTGTGAGATCTATTGTGAGATCGATTGTGATATCGATAGTGAGATCGTTAGTGAGATCGAGTGTGAGATCGATAGCCAGATCGATTGTGATATTGATCGAATGAGATCGATAATGAGATCGATAGCGAGATCGATAGTGAGATCGATCGAGTGCGACGGTGGTCCCCCCCCCTCGCCTCCTTATCACCCGAAGGGTGGTCTATGCGGTATACAGCTTACTGTGTGCGCTGTTCCCTGATCATGACATTGTGTTCTGTTCTGCTAGCCTCTCAGGAAGGCTCAGGAACCGAACCGAACCAGCCGAACCGAACAGGGCCGAACCGAACCGTACGAACCGCACGTTTTGTAAACAATAAACGAAATGGAACCGAATGAGACCCCATTTCGAACCGAACCGAACCGAACCAGATTCGATTTCGGCGAACCTGACGGAAGCGCACCCAACTGGACGTCTCCGGGGCCTTGAATTTGGCGACGTGATGGAGTAGGAAGAGGAGGAGGAGGAGGAGGAGGAGGAAGAGGAGGAGGAAGAGGAGGAGGAGGAGGAGGAGGAGGAGGAGGAGGAGGAGGAGGGCAGGCAGGAGGAGGAGGAAGAGGAGGGCAGGAGGAGCAGGAGGAGGAGAAGGAGGAGGAGGAGGAGGAGAGGAGGGGAGGAGGATAATGAGGATGAGGAGGAGGAAAGGGGAGGAAGAGGAGGAGGAGAAGGAGGAGGAGGAGGCAAGGAGGCAACGGAGGCAAGAGGAGGGAGAAGCAGGGGAAGCAGAGCAGGAGAGGCCCCCCGGCCCCCCCCGGCACTCCCCTCCGGCACCCCCCTTCCGGCCCCCCCGGCCCCCCCCCCGGGGCCCTCCCGGCACCCCCCCGGCACCCCCCCTGGCACCCCTTTCTGGCATCCCATCCAATCCTTGTCCTGCTCCTCCTTGTCCTGTTCCTCCCCCGCCTCCTCCGCAGCGAACTGGGCGGAACCGGAGCGAAACGCATGGCGAACCGGGCCGAACCGGACGGCCCCCCTTGCAACGACAAACCGAACAGAACCGAACCGGAAAATTCCGACGCCGAATCGAACCGAACCGGACACACTTCGGAACCTAACCGAACCGAACCGAACCGGACCCTTCCTGGCCTCTGCAATATTGCCAAATCTTTTATGTTTGGGTACAGTCGTTGCCGCCGTGGTGTACGCTCTGCTATGTTCTGTGATTGTGCAGCCTACTATGCTTCGCTATGCCATGACATGCCTTTTTATGGTATGTTGTGTGTTGATGCTGCGTTATGTCATGCTCTGCTCGGTCAAGACATGGTCTGTCCGTATATCGTGTATCCAACTATGGTAAAATATCGTATACCGATGTCCGTCATGGTATGATTTGCCATGCTGTGTAATGCTGCGAGTCGGCGTTGTGGTATGCAATGTCAAGCCGTTCTGTGAACTGGTATGAGATGCTTGCTCACGCTATGTTATAGTGTGCTCTGTCATGGTGTGGTATGTTGCACGGTGTTAGATTATGCTCGGTATGCTCCCTGATGCCATTGCATACGTTGCAATGAAGTGTCCCTTGGCGCGCCCTGTTCGAACATGATATGACATGGTATGCGTTGGTATGTCATGGTGTTGTGGCATATTATGGTATGATATGCCAGAATGTGTCATGCCGCGCTCTGTCATGAAATGATGTGCCATTGTATGTGATGTTATGTGTTTTGATGCTGTGCTACGGTGTCATAGGTTATGCCATGGTAAGTTATGTTAGCATATGATGTGGCATAGCATGCTATGGTATGCCTATACTATGTCATGGTATGAGGTGTGGGGTAATGCTCTGTCCTGTATGACCAGTTCTGTCAGAACTTCTGGTGTTACACAGTGTTACGCCATGCTATGGTGTAATGTATTATGCCGCGCCTTGTCACGTTATGGCTTGTCAACTGTGCTGCGATGCAAAATGCCATGGTCTATGTACTGTGTTATGGTGTGTTGTGTTGGTGTGTTATGCCATGGCATTGCATGCTATGATATATCGCGTGTCCTGTCATACCGTGCGACCTTATGATATGCTATAGTATCGTATGTTTTTCTGGTCTGTCAAGAAATGCGTTGCTGTGCTGTGATGTGTTATGATATGCTATTTCATATTATGCAAGGCTGTGGCATGTTATCGCTTGATATGTCCAAGTCTGCGGTGTGTTAGTATTATATACTTACTTTGCCGTAGTATGGAATGTTCTGTGCTCTGATGATCTGCTATGGTGTGCGCTGCTCCGCAACGGTGTATTGTTACGACATGTTATGCCACGATGTGGTATGTTATGCTCCGATATGGCGCGTAAGGTCGTGTTGCTATGCTCTGCTCTGCCACGGCTTCAAATTATGAATTGTACTATTTCCTGCCAGTTTGTACTACCCCTCTGTCATGTTATGACGTATCGGCGCGAGGCGGCACACTCGGGGACACTCGGGGGACCCGGGGATCTGGCGGCCGCGGGTTGCTGAGTGGCGCGAGGCACACTCGGAGATCTGGGGATCTGGCGGCCGCGGTGAGCAGAATGGCGCGATGCGTGACTCTCGGGGGCACTCGGGGAACCTGGGGATCCGGCGACCCGCGTATGCAGAATGGCGCGAGGCGGGACTCTCGGGGGACACTCGGGGGACATGGGGATCTGGCGGCCACGGTGTGCAGGCTTGCGCGAGGCGGGACTCGCGGGGACACTCCGGGAATCTGGGGATCTGTCGGCCGTGGTCTGCAGGGTTGACGGGTTGGGAGGCCTGTTTAAAAAAAAAAAAAAAAAAAAAAAAAATCTAACGACCCCAACCTGTCGGGTGGGAAAAAAAAGAGTGCGATGATGGGGCAGAGGATGAGGATGATGATGCTGACGAGGAGGAGAAGGAGGAGGAGCAAGACGACGAGGAGGAATAGCACCAGGAGGATGAGGAGGATGCGACTGAGGGGGGGACGAGAAGTAGTGGCATGAGAAGGTACAGGAGGATGAGGTGGAGGAGGAGGAGGATGGGGAGGAAGACCAGAAGAATCAGGATAAGGAGCGTTAGGACGAGGAGGAGCGAGAGTAGGGAAGGAGGAGGTGTAGTGGAAGGGGGTGACGAGGGCGACAAGGATAACGACGTGGGGGAGGAGGACGACGACACCGATGACGAACGAGGGCGCTGGACTCTGGCTATAATATTGTGTGGGAGGGGGGTCAAGCTGAAATCCGTCCCTCCTCCTCAAGGGACCAAGGGAACGCGCTACTTCAGACGCCAGCAAGCGTGGGCCCCAAACAACGGTGTCTTGCAACCGATGCGGAACAATCTAGTTGGTGCAATCACTGTTGTAAAATCTAGATGTTGCAATCTATGTGGCGCAAGATGTGCGGGGCACAGCAATGCAAAACAATGTCACTCAACGCCAAACGATATAACTCAATGCAGCGCAATGGAACACAACGCAATGCAACGCAATGCACCGCAAAACATGCAAACCAGTGCAACGCAGAGCAAAGCACCACAAAGCAACGCAAAACAATGCAAAATAATACAACGCAATACAAAGCAACGGCATGAACCACAGTGGAACGCAATGAAAAGCAACGCAGAACTGCGAAGCACAGCAAAACAACGCAAACCAATGCACAGCAACGAGGAAGATTGCAATGCGATGCGAGGCAGTGCAGAACAATGCAAAACATAGAAATGCACGGCACTGCAATGCGAGCGCAATGCACTTTAAACGAATGCGCAGCCGTGCAACGCGATGCAAATCAATGCACAGGAATGCAAAGACATGCAAACCAATGCACAGTTATACAAAGCAACACAAAGCAACGCAATGCAGTGCAAAGCAATGCGAAGCAATGCAACGCATTGATATGCAAACCAGTGGAAAGCAATGCAAAGCAGCGCGACGCAATGCACACCAATGCAATGCAATGCCAAACTATGCAAAGCCATGTAACGAGACGCGGAGCGATTCAGAGCGACCCAGAGCTTTACGGGACCACGAACTGCTAAGCAAAGCAGCGCAAGGCAAGGCGTGACGATGCAGAGAAATGCAAAGCAACGCAATGGAGGAGGAGGAGGAGGAGGAGGAGGAGGAGGAGGAGGAGGAGGAGGAGGAGGAGGAGGAGGAGGGAGGAGGAGGTGGAGTGCAACGCGACTGCACTTCAGTGCAATGCGACTGCAAATTGGGTTGCGACCGGCGGCGGCGACGAGCGGCGGGGCCCAGCGGCGACGGCGGCGGCAGCAGCAGGGCGGCAACGGACCGGCACTGGAGGTCAGGCACCTTGGATCTGAGGAAAGGATCTCTCCTCCTCCTCCTCCTCCTCCTCATGTAAGAGCCCCAAGTCTTAGATCTTAGGAAGGTTCTAAGATTGTCTTAGATCTTAGGGAGGATGCGAGAACCCCAAAGTGGTGCAAGCACTGCTCAGGCAGAGTGAGAAGGAGACACGTGACATGTGCATGTGACGGCTGGCCCTCCTCCCCGTCACATGTTGAGGCCTCCTGTCGCCCGTCGAACAGGTCGACTCCGATAGTACTGGCCTGGGACGGCGGCGCGATTTGCCGCAAGCAGATGGATAGTTGTGCTCTCCCACGCCCTGGTCCTCCGTATAGGGCGCGATGCCGTAGGTTTGGTACTCCTGTGGAGACGTGACGCTCCACTTTTGGCACTTCTGGCCGTACTGAGTCATGGACTGAACTCCACGGTAGGAGTTGCCATCACCGACAAGTTCCTCGCTGACTGCCTCTCCAGACGTAATCTCGGTGGCCTGCGCCACCGCATAGGTGACCACTTGGGTCGTCGTCTGCGAGCCTGTCTCGAACAACGAAGCTCCAGCACACTGGATGCTCTTGGTGTAGCAGACGAATGCGAACATGCAGAGGATCAAAGCGACCATCACGATTGATATCCACACGCAGACCCCCGCAAAGAAACGGACGAGCACGAGGAAGAGGACGCCGATGACGAAGGAACACACGCACGTGAGCATGAAGGCGGGGATGGAGTTCTGAAACGCGCCCCACTGCTCTCCGAAAGACTCCGTCGCAGTGTTCGAAAAGTCCGTGAGCGCCTCGCTCCGCAGGATCCCCGACAGGGTGTCCCCGACACTCGAAACCACGTCTGCGGATATCTGGAGCGTGCAGTACTTCAACGCCGCCTCCTCAGAGCGACAAGTGACAGCAAAAACACGACAATTCTTTGCGCCAACGCTAGACAACCCCTGCCGGTGCCTCTGGCGCCGCCCCTGGCGCGCGAAGCGGGCCAGGAAGCGGGATTTCAGCGTCGATCTAGAAAGTCCGCGAGGATTCCAGAAGTCCCCACAAGGCCCCTTTCCCAATCGTCATCGTCTCGTTCGAGGAGGGGTTGACCACTGTTCTTGAGAAGTGCACATTCCCTGTCCCACTCGACCGGCCGCCGACTGGGAATCAGGCCGACCCCCCTCCCTCCACACCTGTTAACATGACAATACAACGTGCAATGTGCTGCGAAATCTGGGTCACATCCAGGCTGCCCGAGATCACGTTACAATATCTGCTTGACAGGGGCAAGGTGCACGGTTTCCCCCGGGGCCGTAGGCGACCCGAGGAGGAGAAGGAGGAGGATGAGGATCAGGAGGAGGAGGAGGAGGAGGAGGAGGAGGAGGAGGAGGAGGAGGAGGAGGAGGAGGAGGAGTGGGAGGGGGAGGAGGAGATGGAGGAGGAGGAGGAGCAGGAGGAGGAGGAGGAGGAGGAGGAGGAGAAGGAAGGGAAGGGAGGAGAAGAAGGATGAGGAGGAGGAGGAGAAGGAGGAGTAGGAGGAGGAGGAGGAAGAGGAGGAGGACGGGTCGCCCAAACCCTGCGGAGAAACCCTCCAAGACGAGGGTACGGACAGATGGATACGCGCTGACGCCTCACGCCCTGGAGCGCCGCCGGTGTGTGCAAGAGATGTGGACGCTCGAGGCATCTCCGTGAGGAGACGGACTGACCAGCGGCTGCCGCTGAGCGGGCGTGGCCGCTCACACGATGAGATATCATATGGCATGCGGTCCATGTTCCGAATCAAATTGTGAAGCGAAATAACCCCAAATGCTCAGACGTTATACCAGTCGTTACGCGAACAGCACAGTGACAGACTGTAATAGGAATGCGAGGTTGATCGGGATCCAAAACATTTTTGGAACGTGTCCCGAAAAAAATGCGCGAATGCGTGTCCCGCAAAGATTGCGTGACATAAATCGTCACGCTCGTTCTCACTGCAGAGCCCCACTGTATCCAGAACGCCTGCATCACGCTGCATTTCCGCATCTTTGTGTAACAAATCCGACACCACCACGTGGGTGACACGCTCGCCGGGTGGAACATATTCAACGTCAACGAAACTTCAGAGTTTTGAACAACAACTCAATTTATCGCGAACTGTTCACAGATCTGCGACAATGCAACAGACGAACCGTCTATCATACCAGCTCCTCCGAGACCCAAAGGGAAGAGCATTGCGAACGAAACTGAAATGATAGACGAACCGTGAGAATGTGCCCATGACTCAAAACGCGAGAGCGAATGAATCAAGTGTCCACTCGAACTTGAACGCCATTGTCAGCATGGCCGCCTCGTCGTGCTTCTTCTCATTCAGAATATTCCCTGCGGCTTCGAAGTTGCATTGATGAGTTCGGCTGTTGGACTAAAACTCTGACGTAGCATGTTCCAGCCCAGCAATTTCGTTCACCATCGCATCGCACTCGTGTTTTACCTCTGTCAGGGCGTCCTGTGGATGCTGCGCAGTTGCTGCGCTTCGTCGACAATGACAGCATGTGACCGTTCATGCGCATCCAGAGCATTACGATTTGGCCATGACAGCTGAATCCGGCCGTCTCCCGGTGGAACAAAAACACAGAGTCTCTGTGGACAAAAGCACACAGCATGCTCGTGGGGAACAACACGCACACATTGTGCTCGTGTGTGTGTGTGTGTGTTGTCCACAATGTGTTTTTTTCCAGACACTGTGTGGTTTTGTTCCACAGTGTCCGTGTGTGTGTGCGTGTATGTGTATGTGTGTGTGTGTGTGCGTGTGCGTGTGTGTGTGTGTGTGTGTGTGTGTGTGTGTGTGTGTGTGTGTGTGTGTGTGTGTGTGTGTGTGTGTGTGTGTGTGTGTGTGTGTGTGTGTGTGTGCGCGCGCGCGCTTTCCACGGGTGTGAACATGTGGTCTCCCCGCGCAAGCGTCAGGGACGAGGGACGGGGCGCATCGTGCCCCACGCGCGCAGGCCCGCCCCACCCCTGCCGAAGGACAAGGGCAACATGCGCGCTGCGACAGCATCCCGGACCAGGCGCGAGCGCCCGTGTTCATGCCGCAGCGATATTTCACAGAGATTTGTTTTGTTTTCTTCGTTCTTTCTCTCCAAGCCCCGACCCCTCCAAGCGCCGACCCTCTCCAAGCGCCGACCCTCTCCAAGCGCCGACCCTCTCCAAGCGATACTTCACAGAGATGATGGGGGTGCCCGGCAGCACGCGCGGCGCACCTCGCGGGCGTCGCGCCCCCTGGCTGGCGTCTGCACTGGTTCACGATGGTTGTCGGCTGCGACCTCTGCCAATGCTGGGGCTCGGGTGCTGCTTCAGCTGTGGGAGGGCGGGTGGCAGTGAGCGAGACGGCCTGCGAGGGTGGAGTAGGATGAGGAGGATAAGGAGGAGGTCGTCCTCTGCGCGTGCATGGTTTGTGAATTGATTCCCGATGGCTGCCGAGTGCGACCTCTGCCGATGCTGGGACTCGAAAGCTGCTTCAATCGGGGGAGGGTGGCTGGAGCGAGGCGGCCTGCCCTCGTGAACATCGTTTCTCCGCTCCCTATCCCCAGCGGCGCGGCCAGTGCCCCACTGACCGATGTACCCCCCCCCCCTGGATGGGGACACAGGCCGTTCCCTTCGGGCTTCGAGGCGTGCATCCCCAACTGGGGCGGTGACTTGACAGGGCTCTCGAAAGGGATGGGGATGGGGATCGGTGGAACGACATGGGCCCCGGGGGTGGGGGCCCTGACCTTCCAGAGAGCTATTTTTTAGCACTGGAGACCCAAAAGCTTAAAAAGCTGAGCGAAACAGCCTAAAACCGAGACGTATAGCATAGCTCTGGGACAAGTATTTTCAAGAGTCGGGTGCTATTTTTCTCAGCCCTCCTGGAAGGTCAGGAGGGAGGGGGGATCGCCAAGTCACTGCTCACTGTGAGCAGACATCCCCTCCCTCCTCCGGCCAGCGGCAGTCCGCGGGCCCGCGGGCGGCCACCGGGCGGCCACCGGGGCAGCCCCGGACCGGGCACGAGGCGCGCCGGCCGCGGGCGCCTCGTGCGGGCGGCCACGGGCCGCCCCCGGGGGCAGGCGTCCAGAGAGAGCGCAGGAGCGCAGGAGCCCAGGCAAGTGCAGGCCCTGGTCAAGTCGGAGGGCACGAGCTGTGCACCTGCACCGATCCTGGGCCTGGGTGGTGCTGACCAGGATCGGTGTTGGTGCACAGTGGGTGCCCGCCGAGATCAAGGGCTCATGGAGTGCAAGCCCACCCCCCCAAAAACCCACGAAGATTCAAGAGTGCGCCTTGCACCACCGTCTGGATCATGTGTGGGCGCCCCGTGATCCCTTCGCGCTGCTTTTGGCCAAGAGGGACGGCGGGAGGGCACGCTGTGTGCAGTGCCAACACCGCCCCCCTTGCAAAAACACCATGCAAAGGACACTCTGCACCAAACTCTGGATCATGCGCGGGTGCCCGGCGATCACTTTGCATGGGCTTGTTGTGCAGGGACGGCGGGAGCCTGGCAGATGTCCTGCTGCGTGCAGCGCCAGCACCCCGCAACCATCCCCTACAAAAGCGAGCACAAGGGCAGTACAGCCAAAGGCGCACGCGTGTGGCCGACGGCGGCCACCCCCCTGCTGCTCCCGCGGAGTCTGTCGCACCGAGCAGCGCCCCGAACCCCGTGTCTTCCGCCATGGGCGCCCCGGAACAGTCAGCTCGCGGATCTGCCTCGTTGCAGCTGGGCCTCTACTTGCATAGCGGGGATGCCGCACAGACTTCTCTCGCTGAGATGGAGGCCAGGGGGGCTGACGTCACCTTTGACGTGCATTGGACCCACGTGTTCTGAGGCGTCAGAGTGTTGACCTCCGTCGTGCTGTTGTGCATCCTGCTGCTGGGGCCTGTCGTGCCATTCAGGATTGTACTACTGGCGTTCACCATCGGGACAACCATCGGTTCCTGATGATGATGCGTGGGCACGCGATGCCAGGGAAAACACGCGTTGACAATCGGTGCCGATGCTTGGCGCTCCCTGTAGGGGGCCGCCCTTCTCACCGAATGTCTGGCAGTTCGCTTGAGGGGGATCCCACCTCGTGAACTCGTTGGGATTGGGGCCGCTCGCTCAGGCGCTGCCTATCTTATTGAAGGGGAGCTGGAACACACAAATAAATACACACAAGTAAAAATATCCCCCATATTTTCCCATATTTTCTGGGTTTTTGTCCTCCCCACCACTTCCCATAGTTTCCCATATTTTCCTGGGAGTCGAGGATTAATTGTGTCTGTGTGTTTCTTTCCCTCCTGACTTATGTGGGGAGGGCGGGTGGCCGTGAGCGAGACGGCGGTCCTTCCGTGGGGGCAGGAATGACCCCCTCCCCCTGGGCCTGCACGGGGCGAGGGGGGGGGCGGGGCGGCCACTTGGAGCGTCCGAGAGGTGGCCCGAGAGGGCCCCGGAGGGCCTCCAAGATGGCTCCACTCTGTCCACCAAGAGGCGGCTCACAAGAGGGCCTCCACGGAGCCTGCCTCTCCCCCTCTCCCCCTTGCCCCAGAGATGGTTCCAGGAGGCCTCCACGCGGCTTCTCCAGGACACCTCGCGTGGGCGTCGGTTCTGGATGGGCTGGTGGGAACAGGCCAAGCGTCAAGTGTTCCTGTTGTGCCAAGGGGGTCACCACTAGGAGGGTCGTCACTTCCTGGAGGGAGCGCAACTTCCCTAAGGAAATGGGGGGCCCCTAAAACCGCCTCGAGCTTC